CCAGCTTGTCTAGCATAGTGGGGTTTTCTTTATAGACCTGTTGGCGATGATTGGCCACTCCACATACATATATAGACCGGATCACTCTCTTGTCACATCGCTTCTTTCTTTTCTGCCTTATGCCTTTTAGGTCTTTTGTACAAGATAAGTGTAGCCTTCGTGCCATCGCTATTGTGGCCACTTTATCCGCCCCAACGGCTGTGTCACTACTAAATCTTTATCTTAAGAGTGATTATTCTACCTTTTTCACTGTTTGGTTCGTTATGGTGTCGAGGCTCATACCAGGGATAGAATTTTTTCTGCGTCACTTACGAAAAAGAATACAGCAACATTTTTTTTCACTCTCCACACCTAAACTTTTGTCCTTACGCTTGTTGCATTTTGGTTCTTGATTAGCGAAAACTCAAACATGAATCTTTTGATCATTGAGATCATTTTGGACCAAAGAGACCCAAATTTTTAATCTAAACCCCTATTTGATTAGGGAACGGTCAAATGCCTAAACCGTTCATCTACTTTTCTAATTGAAGATGAATTCGAACCACAATTTTCACAGAAGGTGCTTGTCAAATAACGGTTCACCATCGTTTTAGGGGAATGGGCTCGAAAACAATTTTCTGGGGTGACAAATTTTTTCGGAAAAAAAAACAATTAGTGTGGAAACGGGCTTTTTGTAAGTCAAGATTCCAAGCGTTGTTGACCGATTCTCCACGGTCACGGTCATTTCTATTTCACCCACACTGATGGGTGGCGGTACTTTGCGCTGAGTCGCCTTTTTTTTATTTGAACTGTACTGGTCATTTTCACTTCTGATTTTATTTTCTTATGACTTTTTTGTCTTTGAGGATCTGTCAATCATTCTACCACAGTTCCGGTATGTTCAGTAATTTTGTCTGCCGCTTAGGCTTTACCGAGTTCTTGGTTCTTATAGCCTAAAGGTAGCTACTTAGGGTGCGCCAAAAAGTTGATTTTTTACAGTTTTATTTAATCCATTTTCGAATTCTTTGTTAAATTCTACTACGATATCATTTGGTATTTTGTGCGAATAAAAAAAAATTATTGATATATACATAAATATTGTTGTGTAAACGTCTTGTAGACGTTAATTCAAAATCTAGTGTAATTGTTTGTAATTGCGTAAATGAGGGCATCTGCTCTCTTGCGATAAGAGCTTTCTTTATCGGATGAGATTTGTTTAACACACGTGTTTTATCGCTGTTAAGAAAGACAACAAGAGATGCACGTATTAATTCGGCGTAGGGGGGCATCGTTCTGTCGAAGTTGGCGTTATCAAGGCCAGTTATGATTGGCGCTTTATTTGTAAAAATCGAAAGGAGATTTATTTTATTATGGAAGTGGTGTTTCGTTAAATAGTGCAACCAGGAGGCTGCAATCGAGCTGGTTCGCGACGGTTGGAAAGTGTACGTTCTTTTACGCTATTTTTATTCGGGCATTCCGCTCTATTTGATTGATTGAAAACCCCGGTCGTCATTTTCATAATATTTCTGTACAGAAGAAGTTGTTAGAAAGTTCTGAGGAGCTCTTTGCATGTTGTCCGTATATGACAAAAGTTTGCCAAGTAAAGGAAGTAGTTTTAGTGCACCGTATCGTCTTCGGCCAAGGTTTTCTTATTATAAAAGTTAAAGTTTGCAGCGTTTGCATAGCCACCGACATATCATCACTTCATTCATCGAGTTAATGTTGTTTCTCATCAAGATTTGTGTCTCAAAGTAATGTTAAGTTCAGATTCTGTTAGCGGTTGCGTGTGGAGTTAAGTGCTTTCTTATTTTTTCTGTCGAACGCCTGTGTGTGGGGTAATTTCGATGGGTTTTTGACAAACCATCGTAAGCGACAAACAGCAAAGTTTACAGGAGACGTTTTTTTAAATGTATGACTTTGTTTAATGAAGAATGTAAGCAAAATTTTGTATCGGGATACCATTTGTAATTACACAGCTATTAATGAACCGAAATTCACCTAAAAATTTAATTTCGATCATATTTTGCCGCTTAAGATGATTTGTCAGTAATACTTTTTGGATTTTTGTCGTATACTTTATCTTATACGACAAAAATCCAAAAAAATATTACTGACAAAACTTCTTACGCGGCAAAATTAATTAATCGAAATTAAATTTTTAGATGAATTTCGGTTCACTAATAGCTGTGTAATTATCGAGTTCGGGCTTTCGCTACATTTTTCCCTATGACGCTTAGATGTGTAACAATTCAATATAACTCTTCTCTGTGGTATAGGTCGAAAGTTTTAGAGCAAAATGTAGCCAAAATTATACTTTATACAGAGTTTTAAAAGGTTTCAAACGCATTACCCTGATTCTGAAAGAGTACATCACATGCACATTTGATAATCGCATGTGTCTGATTCAAAGATGTTAAATTATTTTTCTGAGGATTTTGATCAAAATAAGTCAAAATCGTTATTTATGCACCAAGATCATTGAGAAATAGACTAGGGGCATTATCTCAATGCTCAAGACATAAATTTGATGCATTTCTGGCGACCACATGGATTTTGATCAAAACATGTCAAAATCGTTATTTATGCACCAAGATCGTTGGGAAAAAGACCAAGAGCATTATCTCAATGACCAAGACATGATTTTAAACGGAAACTTACCTATGTACCAGCACTTTAAGTACACAAATAAATCGTTTTACTAACTTAACTAACATTTAACACTACTTAGCAAAATTCGTCTTCACCCCCCCGCGGCCACCCCCCAATTGTGGACCTCCGGAAAAAAAATCGCAGGGGGTAAACGGTTCAACTAAAAGAATCAAGCTCGCGGGAGGGGGGGTAGAAAGGCGGCTTCGTGGATGCCCCCCCCCCCCAGGAGGATAGTAACGCTGTTCATTTGGACACGACATGCAATCTAATAAAATCTTTTAATATAAACGCCTAATAGCAAATTTTTCGACACCAACGGTTAAAATGGTCTCATTATATTATAGTAATCGACGAAGAATTTAACGTAAGCGACAACAGTTACGATTTTTTGTCAGCATTACGTTGTCGCTTACGATTAAAATGGGCAAAGGTATAACAATGTCGTCTAAGAATGTCGCTTATGATAAAAAGTAAACCGAAATTACACATACTTACAATAAAATAACAGGGAAACATCTATTTGAATAAAGTTCCAATTATCGTAAGCAATTTGTCGAAACAAGCTTTGTAAGTTTCTCTTTCTTTCATTAATTTTGTTTAACATTCTCGTAAAGTTTTGTCATTTGTCAATCACATAATTGTGTGTTTATTCGAACCTATTGTGCTACCCGGATACATTTTTTATGGCAGATTTTTCTTCTCCTCCAAGAATTGTGTCATGTGTTAATGAAAATTTGTGTAGGTAATCTTTTGAAATTTTCAGAAGTTGATCAAAGCTGTCGAGCCTTTCAAATTATTAATTTAAGCCAATATTTGGATTTTTCTGTGTGACAGTTGTCGGAAGTGTACGAGGAGGGATGTAAAAATTCCACGTTTCAATTTTGATTTGTTTGAGATACCTGATATACTTGACCGCATGCACCAATATCAAAAACACTAGTCAATAAATTGCACGAATTTCCTTTTGGAGATAATTTCCTTAAAGGGTCTGCCACCTTTTAGTGAAACTTTTAATACCAGAAGCTGAATCAATCTAGCCACACTTGTTTCTGAGATACAGGGTGAAAACAAAAAGTTTGGGAGTTTATTATATCTTACTAGTTACTACGCATATAAGATAAAATAAAGGTAAAAACTGCCTATTTTAGAAATTTTTACGTAGAATCCAGTGGCGAGGTTAAAAAAATGTTGGACTTTTCTGAGATTTCACCCAAAGTTGGTATTTTTTAAATACAACACCCTTTAACGTCAGTTTTTTGCATTCTTATTCCTGATCACATGGATATCACAACCTATATTTTTTATATACCGAATTATTTATATTATATCAAATTTTTCAAGTTTTTAAAATATCCGACTACAATTTTTATTGCCATAGTTACCAAGGATACAATGAAACAAACAAAATCACCATAATCCATGGCCTACTATTTATAAACTGTAAAAAATAAGGTTTTATTTTTGTTTCACGGCTAAAATTTAAAAATATATAGGTTGTGATACATCAATGTAATCAGGAAAAGTAACGCAAAAAATGTACATTAAAATATACAGGGTGTTGCATTTAAAAAATACCACCTTTGGATCAAATATCCGAAAAGGTGACCCAAAAGCTTTTTTTCACCACGCCATTGGATTAAACGTTATTGATTTTGATTGTGCAGGGGGTCGTGCAAACCGCAAGTCTTTATCAACAGCTGAGATACACCGCAGTTTCAACCAAAACAGGATACACGGTACAGTCTAAAATTCAGAACAGTACAGAATATGTTTTTAACAAAGTAATAATTAAAAGAATCTAACTAACCCGGTTTATCCGTTTATTTAGAATAGTAGTACTTTTTAAAAATTCCTAAATTCGCGAAAATCCAAAAATGTAGAGTTAAAACTATCTAATAATTAATAACCAGCAGAATTCTTTTTCAGTTTTTATAGACATTTGTTTAAGGTTTGCGTAGTGACACATTTTTGTGCCTCAAAGCAAATAAGCATACAGAAATGGAAAAGGTAATTGTGCTCGACGCCCTTTCAGTATTCATTAAAATTTCCTTCACACTAATTAGATTATAGTAATCAGTGAAACTTTGGGAAATAATGTTGACACAAAAGCTATCGATGGAGCATGGAAGATGTACTTTTTTAATTGTGACAGCGAAAGCTTTTAGATCGATTACAATTTGCAACACGCAATATACGTTTCCAATATCTATCGCGTATCTGCCGCTGGAACCTCGAATCAAGAAAATCAAACAAAATAAAAATTAATTTTCCTTCCCCTTCATTTTCCCCACATTCGTTCCTCAAAGTTCCAATTTACCCTCGATCTATAGTTACACCATTACACGAGGAGACTAATTTTCAATTTGTTTCAGTTACGTCACCGGCGGTATTCGGATTATGTTTGGCAGGTGGAATATTTGTTTTATGCGTGGCGGCCGTTACGTGCTATTGTTATCGCGTGAGGAGACTACATAACAGTAAAAGGCATGGACCCGATCAACCTTTGGCCTTCCACAGTCATAGAAGGCCGACCGCCGTTAAAAGTCCGGCGGGTGGAAGTACAACTCATTATCTCAAGAAAAGTCCCAGCCCTACTAATCCCTCGCGAACGCCACCAAATGTAAGTAGACAGCTTTCGCTAAAATGATCTGTACTGGACAAATAAAGCGGAGAAACCATAAGGGTACTCCAACTAACCAATTTACATTACATTAGCATAGTTACAGTTCAATTTTTGAGTCATGGGGCACAAACTAAGAGCGAAAGGCAGCAAAAGCTTTTGGTTTCTAAAGCGTTCCGTGGAAATTGACTTGATATGCTGTCAAGCAATTCAAAGACGCCTTTCTGCAGCCGCAGCTTCTTAAGGCACAATTATTGTGTAACCGAGGATTCCCTCATCTTATAAATCTGTACCTACTGCTGGATTAGGTGGCAGTTTGTGCCTTTGCGGTCGTCTCGTTTTGAGACGCAAAGCTGTTTGTGCGTAGGTATATATATTAGGGGCCACGGAACAGACACCCCATAGACTCATAAAATGTTTAAATGTCAAAAGGAAGGAAGGAGGTCGATACTTCTCATTCTCCTTGTAAAAACTAGTGAAAGGGCGTACAAAGTTCTAATAGCGACTGCATGTTTTGTTCAGATTGATGCGTTGATGCGTGTGTGCGATGTATGTGACAGAATTACGATAGTGTGAATTATATAACATTTTCCGTATGTAGATGTCTGGTGCCAACACGCCGAGTCCGATTGGAAACGATGGAACAATCGAAACGTCAAATGCAAACGAAAGAACAGAATCTCCAGCCGTTCGAGATGTTTACACCACCGAGTGCGAATCACACACTCCAAGTAAGGAAGAAATCGAAACCAACGAAAAGAATTTACAACAAAACGCCTCTTATTTGGGACAACTCGTATTTAAACTGAGGTTAGCTCAATTCCGTACATAATTTTGTTTGTTTCGAGAATTTTCCAATTTTCATTAACTCCATGATTAGGGCAGTGAGCGTAAACCTGCAAATTTTCTCTTTAATTAGCATAATTACTTTTGGAAGACTTCCTTAATTTGCTGTAGGCAATCCTACGCAAAAATTCTCACGTTACTTCCTCCCATCTATTGATGTACATTTTGCTCGTTAGACGAAAACAAACTTTTCTTTCAGCAGAATTGATCAAAGAATCTTGGAGAAGTGTGCGATTACACGTGGGCGATATCTCAGGTCTTTGGCATTTATGTTTATAATTTGTATTTTGAAAACGTTTCCTATATTCCCACGCATAATCATCGAACGTAGGTGGATTCGATCCTCTTTAAAGTACAAGAACAACACACAGAAAACAGATTTTGCCAAACAGAAATTACAAAAGACCAACTCTATTCAGTCTAATACAATTACACCAAGAGGGTAAAATTAATTTCCAATTAAAACTCTGAAATATTTCACTTGTGTTGGTACAGCGAAATTAGAACAATAGTGTAGGTACCTGGAAGTATTTTCCTCGTGATGAGCATAATTTTCCCCAACTCCACCAAATCCAACAGTCAATGGGTGAAAACCATTTTTCCATTCTAGCGGAAACCGCAACTTTTATTAAGCAGGGCAAAGGGGGGGGGGGTCCGAATTTATGACTCAAAACCCACAACTCCTAGATTTTTCTTTTCCTTTGGTCTAATGTCACTAGGTAAATGCCCAGAGAATAAAAATTTTAAACTTCAGGATCCTCTTCAATGGTTAGTGTTAAAAAGTCGATACTTCCATGTTACAAAAGTAAGTCACCTTCTCGTTATAAACACGTTTGAGTATGCCTGGTCCCTGCGATAAGTTTTTTTATCGCAATTGTCGCACAAATACCAGGTTATTTTAGAGAGGATTTTGGAGGGGTGTGGGTAAAACCCGGACCCGGGCCCGGACTTGGTTGGTAAAAGCCGGACCCGCTGGGCAGAGAACTAAGTCACGGTCAGGGATCACTTTTGTGACTTTTTTTGTAATGATCTTTTATAGTTTTTTTTTTATTTTCCGACCGCTAGTCCGTGTGAGCAATACTCCTTTTAACAGGGGCCGCTTGTTCAAAATTTGGACTGTGACTTCTTTATGGTTTAGGAAAGAACCATCAATAGGGACATAAGTTACAGGGATTCTTGTGGATCGAGAACGGTAAAAATACAAAAGCGACCTCATACACTAGATATAGCGATTTTTTTAAATTTTAACAGTAGGTCCTTTAAATAAAAGAAAATTCAGTGCGGGCGTATCACGCATGAGCAGAACCAGCTTCCTTATCTACTGTAAAATATCTGTCTCTATAAAGCCCCTTAAATATGGAGAAATAAATTTTTTTGAACATCACAGACGTTCCCGTAAACCGAGTAGGTATTGGTTTATTGGACATGATACAGTCGGTCTCAGTAACATTCCATAAAACATCAAATTAATATACAGCGACATTCACATAGCCCGTTCGACCATTGCGAATTGAAATACGAGTACAATAATTTCAAGATGGCCCCGCTTCCGTAAATACCGCAAGTGGTGCCATCTTGGATTTTTTAAATAGAAACATATCATTCATAGACAGTGTACCTCCCTTTTTACCAAAAATCGACTACACCAAAATTTCTCGGGAAAACACTTTTTCTTATTAATTTTGGTGAGTAGAATCCAAAACGATTCGTACTTTTTCGATTAGACGTCTCAATCAAAATTGATGGGCAAAAAACCAATTTCGACAAAAAATTCAAAGGGCTGTAACTTTTGATCTAGTAGTTTTCCCGGTCGATCTGAGACAATTTTTTTTCGGCTCAAAAAAAAAGGCAAAAATTTCTCGGGAAAACACTTTTTCTTATTAAATTGGTGCGTAGAATCCAAAACGATTCGTACTTTTACGATCAGACTTCTCAATCAAAAGTTATGGACAAAAAACCAATTTCGACAAAAAATGATAGACATCCTTATTTTGAACACAGCATATGCAAACGATTAAATAAAAGATAATTGCATTTTTACGCACCCAATATAATTTTTTTGCAAAAATTTCCCGGTCATAAAAATTCGTAAATTACAGCATACAGTCAAAAACCTTTTAACGTTTTTTCATTGAAATGAATTAATGAATAACGAATTTTAACATTTTTTTTTACAATTCATGGAGTAATATTTGGAAATCTGTTAGTTAGTTAGTGAGTAATTACGGCATACACAGGAAGTGACCGGAATAGCGCAAACTAAAAAAAATGTACAATCAAAAATATTTAGGAGCCTGTTCTAGAAACATCTAGGGAGTAAACGGTTTTTAAAATCTTTGAGTATGTTCAAGAGAAGTCGTTTGGGGTATTCTTTAGATTTTAGAGCCCTTAAGAGCTTTTATTATTTCTTAAGAGCTAAGAGGTTTTAGGATACCTTTAAAACTATCCTGTTGAAACCAAAAATTTCCAACTTTAGTTTTTTTGTATGCCGTGCATCGTTGTATTGGTAATAAAAATGGTACTCGATAGTGTATGTAGTTTTTTTAAGGGCCGTATAAAAATGAAGTTGATGATGATTTCTCCGATGCGAAGGTTGTATTGAAAACTTTTCAACGCTGTCTTGTAGAGCTCAAATAGTACCAATGAGAAAGTGTTTTTTTAATTTTTTGTATCTGTTGTAACATCAGAAAACAATAAAAACAAAATCTTTTCGGTTTTTCTAGCATATCTGCAGAAGTAGGTACTGGGAATTTTGTGGTTTTCATTACAGCGTGATAATAACTCAGTTGTGCAAGTTTTCACCAATTCCCCAGTGTATGAGCCTTTCTATGAGTCTTTAACATTCTTCATATTCGTATAACTTACTACTTTAGAAACAAATACTTTCGTCTCTAAAAAGGGTGAAGAAAATCACGATTTTCCTCTATAGTGAAGAAAGTAAACAACAATTGCTGTGTTAATGCCATTTAAAATTCAAACGTACCCATTTTTCAATTCTGATTGTAATTTCAGAAAATATTATGTGTAAAATTTAAGAAGAAAGTGTTTTTCAACTTTAGTGTTTCAAAACTGCATTCTTTTGTATAAAACGCATTAGAAAGTAACCCCCATAAATCTGAAAATATCGCAGGCACTAATCGTCAATTAACATGACATGATTAAAATGTAAAGAAGATTAATTTTATTATTTTTTTTCAATCACATTATGATACCCTATATCATAGAAAAGAGAATTAAAAACTGACACTCATTTAAAAAAAATTGTGTCCATGATCTACCTCCTGAATTCATTTTGGTATCATTTTTAAAAATGACAAACTCATTATTTTCATAAATTTTATAATTATGAAAATATTTAACTTTCGTAAATTGTTGCTTTTCAGTATTGTTTATTTTTAAAAAGTATCGTCGTCATTTCTTCGCTACTTAATTTTAAACGTAGCTCATCGCTACACGAAATCGCGCTAGATCTTGTTTTTAATGCTATTATATGTATATTTCTTATTATACTAGGAATTAAGAAATTCGAGTAAACAATTATTTCATTTGTTTAGATAGCCCTTACAGGGTGTTCCAAATTGCTTGTTTTCAATGTTTTTCAGGGATATTTTGAGAAATAAAAGAGATATAGTGATGCGGTTTACATCTCTAGGAGTTACTTTTCAAAGCCACCTAGATTGACGACGTCAAATTTGACGTATGACTTGCGCGAACATGGCAACAGCGCAAAAGTCCAAAAATGCAATAATAGTACATTATATATCAAGGTAGAGAAGTACAGTATTATTGCCTGAGCACCAAGATTACATCTCGAGGCGCTTGCGCCGAGGAGTGTAAGGTGCGAAGGCAATAATAGACTTCTCTACCGTGGTATATATACTATTTTTTTCACTACTAGCACTTGAATTCCTCTAAATTAAGATATTATATTGATAAGAAAATGAACGGTTGGACAGAATTTTTTGTTTATTAATTTAACATGTCAATCAAGTACGTAGAAGTACAAGTCAAACAGGCCATATTTTGTTCTGTCATTGAGATATTTTCAAAGAGTAATTTCGTTCGATTTTTTTCAAAATGTGATAATTTTAGGTATGTAATTTCTCTGGAAATGGCGGATGGTGGCAATTCTTCATTTTAGAGAACTTGTCTAAACGTTTATTGAGCAAAATTTCCGGTTGTGTTTTCTAAAAGTGACAGCGTGACAGTTCTCATTATTGACTACTAGTTAATAATGTCCACATTATTAACCACTTTGAACAAATGCCGAGAAAGCCTACTTTACAAGTGGAAAAAAGGTTAATAATCATGTAGACGCTAGTAGTGAAAAAAGATATTAATATTACATTACACTTTCATATGCGAGTATTTCTGCAATCTGCATTGAGTTAGTTACTTGAAGTTACTTATAGGATTGCTTAATTATTGTTCAACAACATTACATACAAGTATTTGGTTTTCTTTATGCGATAGTATACTGAAAATGTAGAAAATCTCTGAATAACACAATTCAATTTTTACCATGCATTGGGGTAAAAAACGACCTCCCCCTCACGTTTTGAAGCACCAGGAATCCGAATCAAACAAAACGTCAATAATGGCGATCGGTCTGTCTGCCTGTCGGTACATCGAGAATACCTATCAGACAAGTTTCCTGGAAAATGAAAAAGTTATCCGATAGGTATTCTGGCACCGAGGGGTAAACCACTTCGCGAAATCGTGTCACAAATTTCAATAAAACATGGGAAATCCCTTGCGAAATGGCGAAATCTTTCTAAAAACTGTGGAAATCACGTTAAAACTTGCGAAATCTACGAAATCGCTTGCGAAATCCGCAAAATCGCTTGCGAAATCCGCGAAATCGCTTGGGAATTCCGCGAAATCGCTTACGAAATCGTTACATTTCTGAGAACTTTATTGCGATTGCGCCTACAGTGGAGGGTGTTTCTTTGATTATAGTCGATGAGAAAAAGGTATTTGAAATCTGCTGCAGGTTCTAGCACTCGCCGATTATTTCGCGAAATCTCTACGACATCTTCCTAATCTTTTGAAAGCTGCGAAATCCCTATTTCGCGAAATCTGCAACTATTTCGCGCAATCCCTTACAATTTCACGAAATCTCTTCGAAATCTCTTGGAAATGCGCGAAATCCCTTAGGTACAATTTCGCGCAATACTGTAACAATTCTTAATAGTGGTTAATCCCTCGTCTGGCACAAATAGAGCGTTGTGTGCGGTCGCGCCATCCTGTTGAAACCAACAGTTCCCAATTTGTTTTGTGTGTGTGACGTAGGTATATCGTTGGATTTGTAATAAAAAATGATACTCAATACAGTATGTAGCTTCTTTACGGTCTATAAAACAAAATAAAGTTAATGATGATTTCTCCGAAACGAAACGTTGTATTGAAAATCTCCCAACGGTGTCATGTAGAGCTCATAAAGTGGCAATGAGAAAGAGATTTCTTTTTTTGTATATGTTCAAATAACATCAGAAAAAAATAATAAAGCCAAATTGGCAAATGTCGGTTATTGTGGAATTTCGGAAGTATTCGGAATGTTCTGGTTTTCTGTAAAGCATGATATGGTAATAATTGTTTAATTGCACAACTTTTCCTAATTTGACCATCGCGGTATCTTCTATGGAAGATTGTTGGGCACAGCATATGCAAACGATTAAATAAAAAATAATGGCACGTTTACGAACCCAATATGATTTTTTTTGCAAAAATGTTCACGGTCATGAAAATACGTAAATTACATTGCTGGAGCATACAGCCAAAAACCTTTTAAATTGAAATTAATTAATGAATAAAGAATTTTACCATTTTTTTTATAATTCATGAGACGGATACATGAAGTGACCGGAATAGCGGAAACTAAAAAAAATTTACAATCAAAAATATTTAGGAGACAATAAGGATGTTCCAGAACCTTCTAGGGAGGAGAGTATGTTCAAGAGAAGTCCTTTGGAGTATTCTTTAGATTTTGAACTTTTATTATTTCTTAAGAGCTAAGAGGTTTTAGGATACCTTTAAAAAAATCCTGTTGAAACCAACAATTTCCAACTTTTTTTTTGTGTGCCGTGCATCCTTATATTGGTAATAAAAAATGGTACTCGATAGTGTACTTATGTACTTTTTCTACGACTCGTATAAAAAATGAAGTTGGTGATGATTTCTGCGATGCAAAAGTTGTATTGAAAACCTTTCAACGCTGTCTTGTAGATCTCAAATAGTATCAGTGAGAAAATGTTTTTTTTAAATTTTTTTCTGTTCAAATAACATCAGAAAACAATAAATCGTTTCGGTTTTTCTAGCATATCTGCAGAAGTACTGGGCATTTTGTGTATGTCTTTACAGCATGATAATAACTTAATCACCTCGTCTCTTCTACGGTTTTCGAAATCTCCATGATAGACATCGATATATTAAGCCCAGTGTATGAGCCTTTTTGTGAGTTTCGTCTCTAAAAAGGGCGAACCTCGGGGCGAACAAAAAGTTATTTTTTACATAGTGATGACATTATCGAACTTTTTTTAACGATAAATCGTATGGAAAATGGTACTTTTTTCACGATTTTTACAATGCGTTTCCATGGAGTTTAGTCCTGTCTATGAACAATAGCATCCATTTTTGAGTGACAGTAAATCGCGAATGTCAATTGTGGGTTATTATGGATCACTACGCAAAAAAATTTCGTGTACAAAACGTGTAGAAAGATTCTTTTTTCCATGAATTTGCTTGATTAACTCGGGCTTCGCCCTCATTAGTCAAACTGCAAATTCATCTCTCTCTCTAGTGAGGAAAGTAAAAAGCAATTGCTGCGTCAATCTTAATAATGCCATTTAAAATTCAAACGTACCCATGCTAGATTGCTTTGTATCAAACTTCATTATTGCATATGATAATTTTTCAATTTTGATTGTAATTTCAGACAAAATTATGTGTAAAACTTAAGACGAAAGTGGGTTTTCAACTCTCCATCAATTGACACACTCGCTACGCTCATGTGTCAAACTTACAACTCGAGTTGAAAAACTCCACTTTTTTCTCTAGTTGTATACTCGTACAAATAACTATTTTACTACACCATATCGAGGTATAGTGCTAAAATTAAAAAAACGGCATCCATTTTAAAATAGGTGTTAATAATGAAATGTTAAGCTTGTTTAAATTCTTCAGCGGAATGTGGACGCTGATGGTTTAGTTTTAATAACTAAAATAACAAGGTTTACGTAAAATCATATTAGTAGTGTTTCAAAACTGCGTTCTTTTGTATAAAACGCACTGGAAAGGTCGGAACTCCCATAAATCTGAAAATATCGCAGGCACTAATCGTCAATTAACATGACAAATAAAGGTTCAGTCCAAAGCGCCCTCCAATGAAATCGTGACCCAAATTTTTGTATACCCCTTCTGATTGTGTAACAATATTTTAAAAAATTTTTCGCTACGCCACTGAGAGAGAGAAAGAGAGTAAAAAAAATTAAATTAGGCTCCCTGTTTGGTGTCTGGGGTTTTCCAATGAAAGAAAAGTCACAGACCCAGATACGGTCCCTTAATTCTTTATGTGCAGTGGTTGCTGAAAAAATTAAAAAAAAAACTGCTAATTTTAAAGACGTGACTTTCAAACACAATATATATTTAATTAATTACTAATTTGATCAAAAAATTAATTGAACTTACTTGATTATGTAAAGAAGATTAGTTTTATTATTTTTTTTCAATCACATTATGACACCCTATAATATATCATAGAAAAGAGAATAAAGAACTGACACTCATTTAAAAAAAATTGTATCCATGATCTCCCTCCTGAATTCATTTTGGTATCATTTTAAAAAATGACAAACTTATTATTTTCATAAATTGTATAATTTCGTAAATTGTTACTTTTCAGTATTGTTTATTTATAAAAAGTATCGTCGCTACTTCTTCGCTACTTCCTTTTAAATGTAGCTCATCGCTACACGGAATGTAGCGCGCTATATTCGCGCTACATCTTGTTTTTAATGCTTTTATATTCGATTTATATTCGAGTAAACAATTATTTTATTTGTTTAGATCGCCCTTACAGGGTGTTCCAAATTGCTTGTTTTCGATGTTTTTCAGGGATATTTTGAGAAATAAAAGAGATAGAGTGATGCGGTTTACATTTCTAGGAGTTACTTTTCAAAGCCGCCTAGATTGACGACGTCAAATTTGACATATGACTTGCTCGAACCTGGCAACAGCGCTAAAGTCCAAAAATGCAATAAAAAGTATTTGATTTATAACTTAGTTACTTGTGGGAACATCAAAAAAGTAGAAAGAAAAGTAAGGTAAAAATTGTCTCCAATTTTTTTAAGTTCGATATCCGTTTAGTATTATCTTTCTACGTAGTCGATCCAAAATCATCAGAATAAGTGAAAAACAATTCCTCCTTTCGAATAGAAATTCAGAGTAGACGATTATAACCGAGATTATCATCTGGTACTTTTTCTAGATACAAGCACGATAAGAATGCGCTAATAGTCTCCGTTGTACGTTGCCGAGACTTACCGGCCAAGGATCCCAATTTGGGCTCAAGCGATCCCTACGTTAAGCTTCAGTTATTGCCCGACAAACAACATAAGGTGAAAACACGCGTTCTTCGCAAGACATGCAATCCAGTATACGACGAAGACTTCACGTTTTACGGCATCAACTTCAATCAACTTCCAAGCATCACCCTTCACTTTGTCGTACTCAGCTTCGACCGTTACTCGAGAGATGACATAATTGGAGAGGTCTTCTGCGCGCTGAACGCCGTCGACATTAACCAAGCCGAAAATCAGCAAATAGCGTTGTGTCGCGAAATACAGCCTAGAAGCTTAAAGGTGGTAGACCTTTGTAATCTTCCAGAACTAATAACCGTCGGTTTCAGATACGTTCGCAAGGACGCGGGGAGTTACTGGTTTCCTTATGTTGGCAACCAGCTGCAAATCGTCTGACAGTGGTCGTGTTGAAAGCACGTAACCTTCCAAAGATGGATGTCACCGGATTAGCGGATCCTTATGTAAAAATGTATTTGTTATACAACGGACAGCGCATAGCAAAAAAGAAAACGCACGTCAAAAAACGAACGTTAAGTCCCGTATTTAACGAGAGCTTCGTTTTTGATATACCGGCAGGAGGTGAAGGTTTAGAAAATGTCAATTTGGAATTCCTTCTTCTTGATTGGGATCGTGTCACTAAAAACGAGGTGAGAAAAGCTCGGTCAGTGTTAAGATAATTTGCATTTTCTTCTTGTAGGTGATTGGACGATTGGAACTTGGCGGGCCGAAATGTGCCGGTTCGGCTCTACACCATTGGAACGAAGTATGTAACTCACCTCGTCGCCAGATTGCCGATTGGCATAAGCTTCGTGAGTAACCTACCGCAATATTGCAAAATGAGTCGGTCCGTCATTGTTAATATCAACTAGCATCACCTAAAAGCATATTATATATTTTTGAGTTGCGCACGTCTTTCAACTATCATTTCTAATCGTATTCAAAAAGGACCGAAAAATACTCATAAAAATAGATCAACTAGACTGTTTGTTGTAATTGTATCCGTAGATAAGATTGCTTCAAAAATATTTTATGTTACTTATACCTATTGAAAGTTATAGCTGAATGTAAATATAAATGTTTATAAGTACAACGTAGGGTAAGGATTTGTGTATGGGCTTAAAGCAAATTTATACTTGTACCCTTCATTCCGGTTTATTTACCTCTGTTCAAACTTAAATTTTATTGTAAATATAAAGGTTAATCTTAGTACTATGCTTTGTATATAAAAAAGGGAACGATGCGCGCTTTATTTTAGTTGATGCTCCTCTACCTTCACTCTTGCAACCCTTGACCTGATGCAGAAGATTAAAGGAACATAGTCTCACGTTACCCGGTTTTTTGGCTTTAGTAGATAAGCACCAACTAATGCAGGTTTAACTAGCTAAGAAGCAGAGAATGGCTCTGCCGAAATGGTTTGTGATATAGGTTTAAGCAACAAAAAAATCAGTACCAATAATTTTAATGCTGCAAGCTATTAACCAATGTTTATTTCTAATTTTCGAACGGAAGAACGTAGACAATTATTGTATCGGTGTAAGATGACATACACAAATTTGTAATTTCGTACTTACTTTCTTCACACCCTGCAAGGTAATCCAACAAAGACAAATCCGTCAAATTGTTATTATACAAGTTTGAGATCTGCGCTTAATTACCTGATCTCGTGTAGCTTACAGAATGAATACGCCAAGACTGTCCTTTCCATTAATAACACTCATTAGTGTTATGTGTAGAAATAGACAAAGGAACATCTATCGTTTTTTTCTTGTATTGATTAGTATGGTACGTTTTAGGATAGGTCCGTCAGCTAAAACTCTAGTTTTTTCTAACTTAGTAATAAAGGCTTTTTTTGTAAATATTACGTTTGTCTTGTATTTACGCACATCACTTTAGTGTTGAATTATAGTTTTGTGTAACTCTGCAACACAACGAAGATAATATACAACAAAATGTAGTGAACAAGTACACACCAAATGCACATATCTATACCTAATGTCATCAGATTTTGCTTCCATTTTAATTGAGCTGTTTGTTACAAGGCAGGTGTAATATTTTCTACTGTGCAAGTAGATCTTAGATTGAGGATAGATTAAGCAGCGACCACATTCAAAAATTGAGACAAATAACTTGTATATCATTTGACGTGTGTTAATCAATAAATTCCTTAAACATTGCGTTTGATGGGCTTAGTAATTTTCAGGAAAAACGGGTTCACTTTATGTGGCAAAAACGATCAAATTATGAGGAATATAAGTATTCCATTAAACGACCCCAAAAAGAGGTCCAATTTTAAACTTTACGAAATTGCAATAATAAGAGAAAATTGACAAAGAAAAACCCCCATTTTGAGGAAAATAAGTCTTACCACGATCAGAGAAGTCCAATTCTGTCGGGACGATCGTTTTGAGTGGCGTCCTGCCTCAGTTTGTGGTATTCGCTGTGGATATAAGTGCCGAATCTGTAATAAGAGAATAATAATTAATAGAGAAAAGGCACAAAAAACGATACAAAAAGTCAAAAGTTTTCCTAATTTTACATTCCAAAAAGGAGTCAAATTCACCCTGCCAGATCTCTCGCAGCGATGCCCTGCCTTAGCTTGGCACCCGTTGTGCAAATAAATTTTCAAATCTGAAACAATAATCCAAAATTACAACTATTGCCACAGAAAAGGCACAAAAAAGGACACAAACAATATTACGAGTATAAATAAAATAAGGTTTCCTAATTTTCCATCTCAGAAAGGAGTTAAATGCTTTCTGGCTGATCTTTCTTTCTGCCCTGTCTTAGGCCCTCCCTCCACCCCCGTGGATGTACATTTCCAATCTGAAACAATAAGAGAAAATTATGATTATAAAAAATAGTTTTGCTACTGTTCCATCCCAAAAAGAAGTCAAATTCCTTCTGCCAGATTATTATTATAAATATTGCTATAGAAAGGTACAAAAAATACAAAGGGTTGATAGTATAAATAAAATAAGGATTCCTAATTTTTTATTTATTTATTTATTATCTCTCCTTGTTCTGGGCCCTCAACAGGGTTGCGCCCAATTACAGAGTGACCCGCATAATGCTTTTTACATTTCGAATCTAAAACAATAAGAGAAAAGCATAATTAATACTAGAGTAACTGCACCAAGCATGGTAGATATAAAAAACCAGAATTACGAGAAAAACAATTTTCCTAATTTTCAATCACAAAAAGGAGTCAAATTCTTCCTGCCAGATTCCTCTGCAGCGATGTTCTGTCTTAGCTTAGCATCCGTTATGCAAATAAATTTTCGAATCTGAAACAATAATCCAAAATTACAACTATCGCCACAGAAAAGGCACAAAGCAATATTTCGAGTATGCTTTCTGGCTGATCAGGTTGCAGCGACGCCCTGTCTTAGGCCCCCCCCCCCACCCCCGTGGGTGTACATTTCCAATCTGAAACAATAAGAAAAAATTATAATTAATACTAGAGTAACTGCACCACGAATAGTACAAAAAATCAAAATTAGGAGAGAAATAGTTTTTATAATTTTCTATCCCAAAAAGACTTAACTTGTCACCAGTTGTGCAAATAAATTCTCGAATCTGAAACAATAATACAAAATTACAACTATTGCTATAGAAAAAGTAGCAAAAAAGGAAGCGACGCCCCCCCCCCCTCCAAGGGTATAATTTTCGAAATCTGAAAAAATTATAATTAATACTAGTGACTGCACAAAGTATGGTCCAAAAAAACATAATCACGAAAAAAATAGTTTTGCTACCGTTCCATCCCAAAAAGAAGTCAAATTCCTTCTGCCAGATTATTATTATAAATATTGCTATAGAAAGGCACAAAAAAATACAAAGGGTTGATAGTATAAATAAAATAAGGGTTCCTAATTTTTTATTTATTTATTTATTTATTATCTCTCTCTTGTTCTGGGCCCTCAACAGGCTTGCGCCCAATTACAGAGTGACCCGCATAATGCTTTTTACATTTCGAATCTGAAACAATAAGAGAAAAGCATAATTAATACTAGAGTAACTGCACAACGAATGGTTCAAAAAATCAAAATTAGGAGATAAATAATTTTCCTCATTTTCTATCCCAAAAAGGAGTCATATTCTTCCTGCCACATCCCTCTGTAACAATGTCACGTGTTAGCTTATGGGCAAATAAATTTTCCAATCTGAAACAATAATCCAAAATTACAAATACTGCTAGAGGAAAGACAAAAAAAGATACAAACATTGAGAGTATAAATAAAATAAGGATTTTCAATTTCCCATCTCAGAAAGGAGTTAAATGTTTTTTAGCCGATCAGGTTGCATCGACGCCCTGTCTTAGCCCCCCACCCCCTCCTCCCCCGTGGATGTACATTTCCAATCTGAAACAATAAAAAAATTATAATTAATACTAGAGTAACTACTAGAGTAACTGCACCACGAATGGTACAAAAAATCAAAATTAGAGAGAAATAGTTTTCCTAATTTTCTATCCCAAAAAGTCTTAACTTGTCACCAGTTGTGCAAATAAATTCTCGAATCTGAAACCATAATACAAAATTACAATTATTGCTATAGAAAAAGTAGAAAAAAAGGAAGCGACGCCCTCCCCCCTCAAGGATATAATTTTCGAAATCTGAAAAAATTATAATTAATACTAGTGACTGCATAAAGTATGGTACAAAAAAAAAACATAATCACAAAAAAAATAGTTTTGCTACTGTTCCATCCCAAAAAGAAGTCAAATTCCTTCTGCCAGATTATTATTATAAATATTGCTATAGAAAGGCACAAAAAAAATACAAAGGGTTGATAGTACCTATAAATAAAATAAGGATTCCTAATTTTTTATTTATTTATTTATTTATTATCTCTCTCTTGTTCTGGGCCCTCAACCGGCTTGCGCCCAATTACAGAGTGACCCGCATAATGCTTTTTACATTTCGAATCTGAAACAATAAGAGAAAAGCATAATGAATACTAGAGTAACTGCACCAAGCATGGTAGATATAAAAAACCAAAATTACGAGAAAAATAATTTTCCTAATTTTCAGTCACAAAAAGGAGTCAACTTCTTCCTGCCAGATTCCTAGATACTAGAATGACTGCACAAAGTGTGGTACAAAAAAAAATTACGAGAAAAATAGTTTTGCTAATTTTCTATCCAAAAAGGAGTCAAATTCCAGATCCCTTTGGAGCGATGTCTTGCCTTAGCTTGGCACCAGTTGTGCAAATAAATTTTCGAACCTGAAACAATAATACAAAATTACAACTATCCCAATAGGTTTTTTTGAGTTGGATCCATCGTTCCTCGAAATGGGGGTTGAAATATATTATGTTATCAAAAATCTCTAAACCTTCCCCATATAGTTTTATTCGTTGAAGTTTTTAAAAATAACAGCGACTATAGTTTCGGCGTACTGCCATCATCAGGCGACTAGAAGTGTATCACAATATAGCAAATTTGAAAACATTAAGAGCTAGTACTTACTGTGAAAGTTAACAGGAAAACGGTAAATTACAAACGTTGAAGACGGATAAGACGAACATGTTGTTTTTTAATTATTAACTGGCCGAAGCCAAGTGAAAAAACCTGAAGGGTGGTTAAAACGGAAAGGTTGTCCTAAGTTTCAAGACGAATTAATTATCAAGCCTTGTTAAGACAACCAACCGGGGGGTTGAATTTTTACATTAAAGTTGAAATTTGGGTTAACCTAAAAATGAACAAAGTTTTAGATTTAAAAAATAACTTATCTAAAAGGTACTTACACATTTCAAAAGAACGGGGGGGGAAAAAATAAACTTATAAAAGTATTGAAACTATTAAGATGACTACATATTTAAATTATTTAAGTAAAGTTTAAATTCGAGATCATGCAGACGCCCAATAGGATAGGTATAAAAAAAGATAGAAACAATTGAGAATATAAATAAACTAATTTTCCATCTGAGAAAAGAGTTAAATTCAGGGCGATCAGTTTGTAGCGACGTCCCCCACCCACTCCCAGTTGATATAAATTTTGAATCTGAAACAATAAGAAAAATTAGAATTAATACTAGAGTAAACGAATGTTTCAAAAAATCAAAATTAGTTTTCCTAATTTTCTATCTCAAAAAGGAGTCAAATTCTTCCTGCTACATCCCGCTGCAACGATGTCATTTCTTAGCGTAGCAGATATTGTGCAAATAAATTTTCCAATCTGAAACAATAATGCACAAATATTACTATAGAAAAGACACAAAAAAAGATACAAACCATTGAGAGTATAAAATAAGGATTCCTAATTTTTGATCTCAGAAAGGAGTTAAAGGCTTTCTGGCCGATCAGGTTGCATCGACGCTCTGTGTCTTAGCCCCCCCCCCCCCTCTCCGTGGGTACACATTTCTAATCTGAAACAATAAGAAAAAATTATAATTAATACTAGAGTAATTGCACCACGAATCGTACAAAAAATCTAAGTTAGGCGATAAATAGTTTTCCCGAAAGTTTTCCTAATTTTTTATCCCAAAAAGGAAACAAATTCTTCCTGCCAGATCGCTTTGCATCGATGTCCTGTATTAGCTTGTCACCAGTTGTGCAAATAAATTCTCGAATCTGAAACAATTATACAAACTATTGGCACAAAAAGGCTCAAAACCAGGAAGCGACGTCCTCCTCCTCAATCCATCAAAGATATAATTTTGGAAATCTGAAACAATAAGAAAAAATTATTACAATTAATACAAGGGAAATTGCACAAAAAACGATACAAAAAATCAAAATTACGAAAAAATAAGTTTTCTTCATTGTCCATCACAGATAAGAGTCTAATTTTTCCCTGGCAGAGACGTCTTGTTTTACCTTCACCACACTGTGCAGATAAATTTCGAACCTAAAACAAGAGAAAACTTACCATTAATACTAAGAGTCCTTAGCACCCCCATCTTAATTAAATTGGGTGTGGTATTCGTATGCAATATGCGCCAGCCAGTCAATGGTCTTCTTTTAGTCCCTTAAGGAAAAGAGTAAAGGGATAAATAATAACTCAGTAATCTTTATTAAATTGTGAAGTTGTTCCTTCAACTTGTGATTATAAATTAAATAAACTCACTGTATTTTGAATCGGAAACAATAAAAAAAATTATATTTAATACTAGAGAAAATGCACCAAAAATGCTATCAAAAATTTAAATTACGGGAAAAATAAATTTTCCCAATTTTCCATCTCAGTAAGGAGTCAAATCCTTCCTTTTTCAGCGACGCCCCCCCCCCCCCGTGCATAAATCTGGAATAAAATATATATATAATTAATACAAGGGAAAAGGCACAAAAAACAATACACAAAGTCAGAAATTACGAAAAAATAAGTTTTCCTCATTTCACAGCTCCCTCAACTCATACATTTGGTTAATCATCCTATATCTTAATTAAATTTGGTGATTGTGTGCGGTTCCTGTTATGTATTCATATGCAATGTGCACCAGCTAGCTGTCAGTTAATGGTTCTCTTCTGGTCCCCTGAAGAAAATGGTAAAGGGATAAATAATAACTCAATAATCTTTATTAAATTGTGAAGCTGTTTTTCTTTAATGTAGCTCTTTGCTGCAATAGAATAACATATTAGTAAATGAGGTTGAGGCGAACGTTCATTATCAAAAACATACTTCGCATTGGTAGGAAATATTCAACTGTGTTTATAAATGAAGTAAACTCACTGTATTTTGAATCTGAAACAATAAAATTATAATTAACGCACAAAAAATGGCACACATGAAAATTACGAGAAAAATAAGTTTTCCTAATTTTCCATCCCAGAAAGGATGTCTTCCTGGCTCTCCAACGACGCACCCCCTATGCATATAAAATTTTAATCTGAAACAATAAGAAAAAAATATAATTCCTATTAGAGGAAATGCGCAAAAAATGCTACAAAAAGTCAAAATTACGAAAAAAAGAAGTTTTCCTAACTCTCAATTCCAGAAAGGGGCTTAATTTTTTCTGGCCGATCCGTCTCCAGCGACGCCCTTTGGAAACTTGCACCCTCGCCTCCCTTCTGTTCATATTAATTTTAAATCTGACATAATAAGAAAAAATTATAATAAATACAAGGGAAAATGCACAAAAAGGATAAGAAAACTCAAAATTATAAAAAAATGGGTTTTGCTCATTCTCCATCCCAGACAAAAGTCTAATTTTTCCTACCAGATCCGTCTCCAACAACGTCTTGTCTTAGCTTGATCACGCTGCTGATATACGTTTCGAATCTGCAACAATAAGTCAAAATTATAATTATTGCTAAGTGAAGACACAAAAAGACGATACACAAATTTAAAATGATGAAAAAAATTACTTTTTCTTATTTCGGTGTTACAATGAGAATTTTGTGCAACTGTTTTCGGCAAAAACAGTGTTTCAATGAGTTCCATTGTAACATTGTTTTTGGTAACTTTTCATCTCTAAGTTGGCAGTTCGCCAAGACGTCAACGTCAAATCATCAGATGTGAAATCAAATTACGTAAAATGGATGTGTTTTCCTTGATTTTTGGTACACGAAGGACTTAATACACTTCAAATCAGCAGTTTACACATCCACCATAAATAAATTTATCTACGAGTAAAAAATTACACATTCACGGAATTTAAAGCTTCCAAATGTCAGTGCTGTGTTTATCTACGCTGCCAACTTAAAAATTCGTCAACGTAAATGGTGTTGCCAACTTAAGACATAGTAATTCTAAAGTTTCCTGTAGTTTTTGATAATTACTTTTTAATTAAATTAAGGCCCCGAAATAGAAAAAATAGTATGAAAAACACGGGTTACAAATACTCCTATCTTGTGGACACTCGTGGCTCCGCTTCGCTACGCCACTCGTGCCACAAGATAGTCGTATTACAATAGGTCGCATTGTAACACTTGTCTTTCAATATACTATTTCTTAATTTTCCGTCCCAGAAAAAGTCTCAGTTTTGCTGTCAGATCCGTCCCCAGCGTCTGGTCTTAGTTTGGCCACAACTGTTTCGAATCTAAAACAAAGAAATTATAATTAATACTAGAGAAAATGTTCAAGAAGCGCCATACAAAGTTAAAATCACGAGAAAAATAAGTTTCGCATTTTCCCACAACTGAAAAATATCAATTTTCCCCTCCAGAAAGGAGTTTAATTCTCCGTGGTCGATCAGTTTCCAGCTTGAACTCCGTTGTGCATGTAAATTTCGAATCTGAAAGAATAAAAGAAAATTATATAATTAATACTAGAGAAAATGCACAAAAAACGATACAAAAAGTTAAAATCACGAGTAACATAAGTATTCTAATTTTCCACAACTGAAAAATTACAATCCTGCCTGGCGATCCGTCCCTAGCGACGCGTTGTATAAACTAACCCCTCTCCCCTTCACTCCTGTGCATATTAATTTTAAATATGAAACAATAACACAAAAATCATAATAAATACAAGGGAAAATGTACAAAAAACGATAAAAAGGTAAAAATTACCAAAAAAAAAGGTTCTTGTTATGTACTGATATGTCATGTGCGCCAGTTAGCTGTCAGTCAATGGTCCTCCTTTGGGCCCTTAGGGAAAAGGGTAAGGGATAAATAATAACTCAATAATCTTTATTAAATTATAAATCTGTTTTTATTTTCTTTAAGGTGGCTCTTAGCTGCAATAGAACAATATATTAGTATGGGAGGTTGAGGTGAAATAGTAAGGTTTTTCTCATTCTCCATTCCAGGCAAGAGTCTAATTTTTCCTACCAGATCCGTCTCCAGCGACGTCTTGTCTTGGCTTCATCACCACAGCTGTGCATATAAGTTTCGAATCTAAAACAATATACAAAAATTTCAAATAATACTGGAGAAAATGCACAAAAAGCCACATAAAAGGCTAAAATTACGAGAAAAATAGGTTTCCTAATTTTCCATAACTGAAAAAATACCAAATCGGCCTGGCGATCGCTCTCCAGCGACGTTCCGTCTTATCCTGGTGCTCGGCTGTGGGCATAAGTTTCAAATCTGTAACAATAAGGGAAAATTACGCTTATTACCACAGAAAAGGCACAAAAACGATAATACAAAGTTATAATTATGAGACAAATACCTTGCAGCGTTAGCCCATACTGCAGGAAATATAAATTTCGAATCTGTAACAATAAGAAAAATTTACAACTATTGCGCGAAAAAGGGCACATAAATAATACAAAAAAATAAAGTTATGAGATAAATTAGTTTGCTTAATTTTCTAGATCAACTCAAGAAGAATGTAAGAATTTTCTAACTGCTTTTACCTATTCAAAATCGAACTTCGAAAACTGATGAAAACTTTTTCTTTAGACAGGTGTTGCATTTGCTGACATTTTCAGTCGGAACAATTTCCTCTAGTACTGTAGTGTAGATTGAGGTAGCCCGATTAGAACGGGAAACGCCGCATGTAGCTATGGAATTATCTTTTTTGTGGTCCATGATTTTGCGCCTCTTTTAAGACAAATGTCAGGAGCCGATGCATGTACAACAAAAACGGTATTTTTTACACCACGTCTATCATTACCTTTTTTGATATTAAATATTTAAAACTGAGGTTGGCCTATATTGGTACAAATGTCTCTTGTATCCTCACCCTAAGCTTTTCTTTGGCCCTTTCTTTCAACAAAATCGCTAACAACTAATTTTAAATTAAGGTCCGCCTGAACAGGTGGACTAGAAAGAAGTTTCTCCCGGTGCCAAATTCTTTTGAAACCCTATGACTATGATGTTCAAGTTAATGACGCAGGGACAGGGTCCTATAACTGATAGTCTATCACGTGATTTTATTTAACAAAAAAAATGTATAGTACTGTAGATCAGGAGACGTAAAACGTCAAAATTTTCTCCATTAAGAGCCTTTCAGAATTTTTTCTAAAGGTTTTGTTCCCCATCAGCTTTCCAGCGTGCTAACAAATCAATGCTAATAAAAACTGTTACACAAATGTGCTCCGGAAATTCCGTCTCAGTTAATCTATCAACAAAATTCACAGGCAAAAATATTTGATACGGGATATTTGGAAAAAAATTCTCTCTCAAGGAAACTGATCACTAATCATTGCTTGTATGTACTGTACCACGCTCACTATATTACCTATTCTCTTCGATGCAGTGTTATAATCGCTATTTCCGATGGGAGTAAAATTAGTATGTAATTTGTTGGAAAAGTACAAATTCATTTTTCTGAGTTGTTGTCTTATTGAGTACATGATGCCAATGTGTGATTGCTCCTCAATATACGTGAATGGCACAAAGTCAAACTAACTATTATATAACAAAATTGAGCGTGGTCATATGATTGATTTTGGCGACTGTGGTGCCGACTTACCCAAAAAGAGCTATGAACATTTTAATAATCTCGATCGCATACAGTTACCAATATCTAATCTTACCGATAGGCCCAAAACAAACACTTTAATTAATTACCTAATCTTTCTGTTATCATTGACACCATTGCAGGTATCTAAATTGTTAGTGTTCTCGCATTCTCCATATTTCGAAGGTGCCGTCTAATTATTTTCACATAAACGTGTAAACATCGGAATGGGGGATGAAGATGAACATGTAGAACTGCGAAAGAAGAGGAAAATTTCGAAAGGACCGTTGAAACGCGTTCTATCCTTGTCTGCTCTGTGTAAGTAATAAGCATTTTCATCATGATAAGTGAAATGAAACGTGCGAGCTCTGAAATTAAAATTTTTTGCTTCACGAGAACCTAAACAGTATTGACAAAAACGTGGGTGAAGCTACCGTTTATGTTTTATCGCAGATTATCTGATTTCACAATATTACAATAACCAATAAGAAAGCAAACTACCTCAGTAACCAAAATAGGTAGGTGGGGTGTAATAATAGTATATTATATACCAAGGGACTAGCGTGTGTGTTTTAATTAAGACGCCCTGTAGTCCTGTGGTATCCGGCAATCAGCTTCGGTAATTTCAGCTACAAATTTGAAAAAATTATGTTTTTTAAAACACACCATGCTAAAACTACAATCAAAATTGAAAAATTATCGTATGCAATAATGAACTTTGACACATAGCAATCTAGATACGGTTATGCTTCAATTTTAAATGTCATTATTAAAATTAACGCAGCATTTTCTTCACCATCCACCCTTCATCAGGCGAAAGTTGTTGTTTTGACCTCATTTTCTTCTTTAGTTATACAAATGGATACCTTGTAATGTTACCATTGTGGTATAATAACTGTCAGTTAACTTTAAAGATCCTTTTATGAAATTCAAAAATGTATTTGGAAAACGGTATAAGTAACGAGGATAAAATATACTCTAAGAATCATGATTTACATGAAGGTAACGACTTGATTAAATTGTTTGACATTTTATTGAGTACGGTCCACTCTTCGTCCCGCATTCTGACTGCTGTATCTGACTTTCGAATTCTGCAATGTCAGCTTATTTTTGATCGAACTTTATTTAATTTGATGAATTGTAGAAGTAACAGAACACGACTAATTTCCAGCGTGTAATTTAAAACTGTAACCAGGCGCCAAATACGATTTAGAACAAATATTCCATTGATCAACGTGGGAAGCTCACTGTTATTACAATCGACATAATAAAAACTTAAAACTACCATGAGCAATATTTGTGGGGGAATGTTTTCGAAACCTTGACTCTTTTACTACCGCTAATTTACTTCTGCGTAATTCGACGGGAAAAAACGCAATATTGACTGTATACAAAATTTTTCTAAAGTGATATTTATTAAGAAGTAGACATATAGTCCACTATGCAGATCATTTTGACCTGCAAAAGGTGGTGTAACAGATTTTTTTCACTACTAGCGTCTGATGACATGATTATTAACCTTTTTTCCACTTGTAAAGCAGGCTTTCTCGGCATTGGTTCAAAGTGGTTAATAATGTGGACATTATTAACTAGTAGTCAATAATGGGAATTGTCACGCTGTCACTTTTAGAAAACACAACCCGAAATTTCGCTCAATAAACGTTTAGACAGGTTCTCTAAAATGACGAATTGCCACCATCCGCCATTTCCAGAGAAATTACATACCTAAAATTATCACATTTTGAAAAAATTCGAACGAAATTACTCTTTGAAAATATTTCAATGACAGAACAAAATACGGCCTGTTTGACTTGTACTTCTACGTACTTGATTGACATGTTAAATTAAGAAACAAAAAATTCTGTCCAACCGTTCACTTTCTTATCAATATAATATGTTAATTTAGAGGATTTCAAGTGCTAGTAGTGAAAAAAATAGTATATATACCACGGTAGAGAAGTCTATTATTGCCTTCGCACCTTACACCCCTCGGCGCAAGCGCCTCGAGATGTAATCTTGGTGCTCAGGCAATAATACTGTACTTCTCTACCTTGATATATAATGTACTATGATTATTTTAAATGGTTCATTTGGGTCCAAATAACATGGATTTGAAGAGCGCACACCAATATTTTCCCGACACAATTTTTTGGCAGGCAAAAATCCTCAAAATGTTTGGACTTTTTTCAGTTTTTCGCTTAAAACTCGAAAACGGTCCATATTTTATGAATAACACTTCTTAGATCAAAGGATGAACAAACAAAATCGGTCCAATAGAAAATTGTTAAAAGCGATCAATAAACACCCATTTTTTCCAACTTTTCTAAAAAACTGAGTTAATCTTTTTTTAATGCGTTGTGGCTCCTAAAGGAACGGTACAATACACTACTCCCTTCCTAAAGATTGTAGGACATCCGAGTTCAAAAAGTACCAAACATTTAAAATTGAACCAATTTTTGAAATTTGTTGGAAATTATTGAATGAGCCGGAATGTATAAAACTCATCCAAATTGCTTGAATGGCTCTCCCATCACCACCCTTTCACTGCAACTGATACCCTCATGTCACTAAGCAGTGGCATCACGTTTAATACATAAAGGTCAGTCCGCCTTACCCCTTATCTAATAACTGGCAAGCGAAAGTGTATTTAATTTTCATATAAATTGTAAGGTGCTGAGTCATGAAAACAGCAACCCTAAACATTGTTTTGAGTCTTTTGTGCAAGTTACTAATAATTTTGGACATTTTCGACCTTCTACATTATTTCAAGTTATTTCTAAATTGTAAGGCACTTGTCTTTAAAAACACACCAAAACTTCTATTCCCAAATGAGATCGTTTGTGATTGCGTTACCACCATAATAATTTCATTTCCGAAAGTCCTTAACTAACACGCTTCAACTACAGTATTTTTAGTTAATTTTCATATAAAATTTAATGAGCTTGGTTTGATAAATAGCCCCCGAAATTTAAAACATCTCTAAAACCGTCGTTTTAGATATTACGCTTACCCAAACCACGTCTTTACGCAATGGGCTAATGAATTTTAATTTCTACAGCATTTCTAATGTGCTCTACAACATCCCTAGGGCCGTCGTTTGGGGATCAAAAAAGCACCACCTTGAGTAGGAATTTTACAGATCAGAAAGGCATGCCCGAAACCTGGGTATAGCCGCAGGTTCAATTGGTCCATTTGTCGTGGTTGCTGAGACAAAAATCATTAAACACTCATGTAAGGGTTCCAGTACCAGTTCAAGACAAAATTATCTGGTCTGAAAATGCGAAAAATGGAAATCCACTTTTCGATTCTTCATCTCTAAAGAAGTTTGTGAATACGTTCATATATTGAATGAATTTTTGGACCAATTAAATGCCTCTAGTAAGGATCCGGATTTAACGTGGAAACAGAGAGAAAGAATGAAATTGCTGGTCACCCTTTTCGTACAGTTTTTAGACATGAGGTGACACAATAATCTTAAGTTGCATGTTTCGATTTCAAGATTTCATTTTGCGAAGGTATTTGGTTCACTCATATCAAATTAATTCAAAATTAGTAAACTCTGCGACAATTATTATTAAAGGTAATAATTATCAACAGACTTCTAAACACCTGTTTAAAATCGACGCGACCGACGCAATGGACTACACATGTGTTTCTAATTTTAGACTTGGATAGATAAGATGATTGTTGTAATTGTCGTGTATAAATTTTTGATTTGGAAAATGATTGATTGAAACTAACGGCAGTTACATGTGTGGAGGTAAATTTCCATACACAGCACCTATTGTCCAACTCCAAAATCATTTTG